GGGTTAAGGGGTTTGGGGTTTAGGGTCTAGGGTTTGGAGTTTAGGGCTTAGGGTTTAGGGGTTTAGTAGGGAATGGGGGAATGGGTTATAGGGACTACTATAAGGGACCTTAAGGGACTGTCATAGGGATCCGTTCCCCCATTCCCTACTAAGCACCAGACAGAAAAACGTCAGGGTGCTTGCTCTGAGAACTCCTGTTGGCAGGTGTGACCGACAGTTCAACCATCCCAAAGGCAATCCCAGTCCACGTTGGTTGCCAACTGACCCATATGGCATTCTATCAGTGATTCTGTTCTGTTCTATTCTAGTATTAGGTTTAGGGTTTAGGGTTTGTGTTCGGAAGGTGGCAATCAGGCTTCCTCCTGGCGTTTCAGAGGCTGCCGTGTGCCCTGGCATAAAGGGGATCGAGGAAGGGGCCTGCTGGGGCCTGAATATTGCTTGTGTTTTTTCCTTGGGGCTCCTTGCTATAAGTATAGTATCATATACGCCAAAAGCCTATTCTCAATATTCATAGCCCTATGTTAAGCCTTCAGTTTTCCACCTTCGATATTCTCGAGCTCCTGACAACTTTTGCGAGTCTGAGGCGGCTGGAGTGTGCTCGCCACGGAGCTGAAAGCTCGGTGTCCGTGGTCGCTGCAGAGTTCGAGCTCCATGTGCACGAAGACTGGATAGGAGCTCTCGACGTTAAGGAGAGATTCCAAGCACGTGCCTTCCAGGCTTCCCAGAAAAAGGCAACACTCCATGAAGACGTAGGTAGCTTTCTCCTTCCCTCATTGGCTGTTGCTACAAGTCGCAAGGAGGTGAGCTGTTTCTGTCTCGTGTTTCCGTCTGCGGCAAAAGCTGGGGCAACCCCAACACCAGCAAGTCCCATGGTTGCAATCAGCCTTGATGTCTATTGACCAGAGGTTCTCACCGCAGTGGTCTTAGAGCCCGACGGCAGCGCTGCGTTCGGGTCCCTGGTGGGCTGGCAAAGGTATCGTACATCGTCATGCGGCTTTAAGTAAAGGAATAACTATTCACTCTGCGACGCAGCAGCAATGGGTTTTGGGCTGCAGAGCTTCAAGTACTGCGGGATTCGTGCACGTGCACGTTCCAACTGCTGAGGTATGTGTGCTTTGCCTCCTCTGACATGGCCCAACTAGCCGTGCGGCGCAGCACTCAGGTTGCATGGCAATCTCGGCCTATTGTGCTGCGAAAATGTGGCTTGCGGTGAGCTCTTTGCAAGGCGCATGGCCAACAAGAGCGGCATTTTCGGAGGCCATGCCCACGTCCAGAACATGCTACTTTTCTCGAGCATCGAAGAGACGCAAACAACCCTGCACCCTATGTTTGGAGTGCATTGCCTTCTGGATGCCAGGTTCGGAGCCACTTCAGATCAAGCTGATCAGCATCGGACACAGCAGTTCTACTGGTTTCATCC